AATCCTGACGTACAGCATTCTTTCTCTGGAAGTTGGATCTGTGGCTCAAGGATTGGACTTAAGACACCTCCAGACTTATCAGTGAGCCATGGTAGAGATGATGCTTGAATCAAGGGATTGTGGACAACAACTATTAATAGCCTAGTGGCTAGAAAATTCACCCATAAACCAAGGCTCAGGCTACGGCTCCCCTCACACAGAGGAGGTTCCCTCCTCTGCATCCCTCTGGCCTCCCAACACAATGCTGTAACCATCACAGGTTATGCATTATCCACCTTTTGAAATGGAGACACTGCAATTTACTTTTACTCACCGCTGGATAAATGGGTGGAGAGTAGTGATGAACATTTCTGCCCAGTGGGAGGAAGGATTCAGGCTAGAACGCAGGCTCCCTCTCCTGTTCATATTACCCCTGTGACAGCTGAAAAGTGTGCCTGTGTGATAAAGATGCTTGCTGAAGGTTCTATGAAAATTAGACCAAGTGTTTTTTCTGTATTTGTTTAGCTATTAAGCTATATGTTGTTGCTAAAAGCCTAATTAAAGTTTAAGATGTAGTGAGACCTTGTATAAAGTAAGGCCTAGTAAATTTAGCAAAGCCTAGAAGTAATAAGGCCCTGTGGCACAGTTAAAATTACCTTATCAAAAGAATACAAGGCTTGTACTGCTATTGGTCAGTCTAAGGACAGTTGAAGTGAAGGGAATCTGAGTGGTCGTACGTTATCAGTGCCCTTCAGAAGCTATAAATTAGCTGAAATATCTGGAAACCATTCAGAAGGAAGATACAGCTCTGTAAAAAAGCATCAGTTAGCTGTTGCCTGGATCAGTGGGCCTGTGGACCTCGAGGAGCCCAAGAACTGCATTTCACGGTCCTTCCCGGTACCTCTCGAACAGCGCTGATTGGGGACGCCTGACTTTGCTGAACTTTGTGGAAAGAGAAGCTTGCTGTGTATCAGGCATCAGAGGGGACTGCTGATAAGCTGCTGATGCAAATTGCTTTTGTCTGTCATTGTTTGTCTTGTTACTATGCACAGTTGTGTTTTCGTTAAGTCAATAAACTTTTCTTACCTTTCTACCCCTGACCATACTCTCAATCCCCGAACCCTCCGCAGGCGGCTGGGACAACCCCTTTACAGAACGCTGAAAAGGAAAAAGATGGCAGCTCGCCCTGCGTCATAAAAAATAAGGTTTTTATTTTGTGGTTTTCAATGCCAGCCTTCTCAAATATGGCAGTTCTTATCTGATTACAGGGCTCAGCTTGATTAAGTCAGCTGCCAGGATTTCAAAAGCTTCAGTTCAGAATGCATGTCACATACAATTAATGTATTCTGATTGACTGTATGAACTTTTAACCATCTATGGGCTGATAAGCAACCAGACATGTATTATATGCTTTGCTTGGGAGAAGCTACAAAAAAACAATAGTTAATACTTTAATGAGACCGCCATGGCAGGACAATTGGGTATGCTCAAGAGGTTTCCTAACTTAGAAAGATATAGTTGTTTCAGATGATCTGCAGAACTGGGGTTTGGAGCAGAGGCATTTCCCCAGAAAGGATACAAAGAAATGAGGTGATAGTGATAGTATTTGAAAACTCAGAGGGACAGATAGGCTTTTGGAGGGCAAAACAGTTATCTTGACTGTGGGACCAGTCAAGTTACAGAAAGCTAGACCTACAGAGATCAATGAGCCTGACCTGAAGGAATGTAGAAATGGTGAGAAATCATGGAATTCCAGAAGGATGTAGATCCAAATCCCAAGCAAGGCTGTAGATTTACCTGCAAGTTTTCCTTAAATTACCCATATCTGTATATCTTGCACTGGTCTAAAGAGTTATTAGAAATCTCATTTAAACTGTCAATTTGCTCCAAATAAAACTTGTCCTTGAAGCAGCAGAAAGGAAATCAGAGCACTCACAAATAGGAGCTCTGAGAAAGATGTACTGCGGAGCTTGAGGGAACAGGCACTAATTTACTATCCTAGGAGGCAGTGATAGAGAATCCATACCATGAGTGTGTGCCGTGAAGCCCAAAGCCAAAGCTCAGCTCAGACTAAGCAAACCAAAATCATATGAGTCCAAAAGAGAGATCCAAGCATAGCAGTCTGAACATGTCCAGCAAAGGGAGGTTGACTGGGGCAATGACAGCCAACTAAAATTGACAACATTCAAGGGAATGTTTGAAACTGTCTTCAAAAACCAGAGATACCAAAAACTTCAAAGACACTAAGGGCAGTGCCACAAACTGCATGTGGGGAATGTGAAAACATAAAGGGAATGGAACGGAACAGAACGGAATGGAAACATGAACAGAAAGGAAATCCCAATACCAAAAAAAAATCCTCCATGGAAAAAAGTGGCACAGAGCATGCATCAGTAGCAAGCACCAGAACAAATGGAGGGCTGGCCATCCAGAACAACACTCTGGCTGCTGGCCAGGCTCTGTGCTACCAGATCTGTGCCCCTGCTACACCAGGTAATATTTGTGGTGGCCCCAGCCTCCCCTACCCCTTCCCAGGACAATTTGCTGCACACCAAAGCGCATGTGCAGGGGTATGCAATGGGGCACAAAGCAGAGGCACAAATCTGAGCCACTGCTATTTGTGCCTCTACAAGCACATGTCCCTGCATGTGGAGACCTGCCCTAAAGCTTCATCTGAGACTTATAATTGAACTGAACTGTTTTATGAACCTTAGGAGCAAACTGACAAAGACACCCCACAGCTTTTATTAGAGCTATGCAGTTAAACACTGCAACCTAAATAGAAAAATACAAATGGCATTTTTAAAGCAATACTGTGGCTTATAGTTCCAAATCTACAGTGATATATGTTGTCGTCAAATCTTATTGAAACTCCTGTAGCTGCCCTTTATGAAGCATGTAGGCTATGATGCAGATAAACATATGACTAATCTCTTTTTAAAAATACCTAACTGGTTAATATTTTTTATTTCCCTTTAGAAAGTTCTGCTCAACTATAAAAGTAATTTGACTGGTCATTAGGTGTTCAGCACAATTTCTAATCAAGTTCCAGCCATAAAATATGAGCCAATGTCATATAAACTCCACTAGACCAATTTCAAAGTGCCAGGAGTAACCTTTATCATGATTTAAATAGCACCAGCCTGAACTTGTGCATTTAATGCCATTGACTTTTATATTATCACTAAGGGTTAGTTCAGGCATAGAATCCTTTATTATATTCCCCTTGTCTTATCATGGGAGACAATCACAGCAGTTATGATTCCAAATTGTTAAAATTTCTCTGCATTATCATATTACAATAGATTACTACAGACAGAGTTAGAAATTTTCTTTTCTGCTAGGTACCTTGAAATGTCATCTTTGAGACAAATATGTACTCCTCACAAAAAAAAGAGAAACTTTTTTTTTTTTCTGTTTCTGAATCAAGTACCCAAGTACTTTTATTTTCCAGCAATTGCACATTTATATTGCTATTTCATTTTGCTTCATCAGACAGAGCTCGTTCTAGGCTTAGCTTTCCATATGGTATGAGCTTACACTGAAAACAATCACAAATAGGGTATTTAAAGAATGGTTTTGAAACAAACATTCGCAGCAGTATTGGCACCCCTGTCCAGATACTTTTAAAATTCTGTCACTGCAGTAGCTGTACATTTTAGTCATTAACAAATTTTTCTTTTCATTATCTACACAAGGCAAGAAAGTAATACCCACAATTTAAAGATGAGAAAACGGGGCAGAAAGGATATGTCTTCACATCACAATAAAGTGTCAAGCAGAGAGATGTGAGTCTCTGCTGAATAAACCAACCCAGTAAGAAGCAATGTAGCCAAATTAGTGCAGCATCCACTCAAGCTAGTGCACCTTGTTTCTTAGGTGGATTAATTAACCCAGGAGAATGACTGCACTAATACAACTAGACTGCTTCTGGTAACTAACCTAGTATGTTCAGAGCTAGCTCGAGGGTCTGTACAACTGCATGGTACGATGTAAATACACCCAAAGAGTGACTTGGCCAAGACAGCATAGGAAATCTGGCAAAGAGAAATTAAACCCACCTCTCAAGTCCCAAGCCTATTCCTGTAATTGCAAGATGTTTTTTCTAAAACATTCATTTGGGGCTTTGGGACTACTAACAGGCTCTCCTTCCTGCCAGGATGACAATGTATCCTGTGCACAGTTATGGTCTGCTTACTAAATCAGCTGTATATGCTCCAAGACTGCACAGGCTATGGGTTTCTCTAACCTTCACTCACAGTCACAACTGGTGTACTAGTGAGAGTCTACTGGACAGAAGTTAGCAAGGAGGTGAGGCCTTGGTTTGATAAACCTATGTAACTGTCCCAAAACAGGGGGAGCCACTGTTTTACAAAACAAGATGACAATTACTGTACTTCAACTGACAGACATGTGGGATGCAAATGGACCTGTTTTCTAATCAAACAAACCCTATGGTCCTAGCAGTAAATGCGCCATATAAATAATTTGGAAAAGAACAGCCCATTGTTAAAGCCAGAAGTCTTCATTCATAAGTTTTGTATACCCAACCACAAAATAATCTATAGAGGCTGTTTGCAGATGTTCTTTAAAAAAAAAAAAAAAAAGCAGCACTTTAAACTCAGTGCTTTCCTGCACCAAACCCAGTGCCTGCCCAGAAGAGGCAGTGCCTTAGTTGGATCTGGCTCACCCAATGTCTATATAGATTGGTGCTTTAGTGGGGCTTTTTTGGCAGTTTTATCTAAAAGCTGATTAAATCAGCTTTAGGTAAAAGTGCCAAAAAGCCCTGTTGAAGAACCTGATCTATTCAGATGCTGCAGAGCCAGGTAGAAGTAACATGCTGCTTCTTCCAGTAAAGCACAGTTTTGTTTTTTTAATGTCTGCAAGCAGTCATATTTACTATAGGTACAGGCACATATATGTTCTCTGCACATAAAAATGGAGCTTTATCTTGTAAAACAATGACCAAAATACAAATAACTTTATGATAGAACTGTATATTAAGTAGAAGTTTCACTTACTGGTCTTGGTAAGCTGTATTGATACATTTCAGGTCTATACGTTGGTACCCACTGAACTCCTCCTCTAGGTCGGCTCATGGTACCAGGAGCACTAGTCACAACCTCAGAGTATGGTAAGTGTTGTGTTGAGCTGTATGCATCTTGTTGTCTGTTCTGTCCTCCATGGCCTGCAGAGGCTAGACTGAATGCCTCTTCCAATAGCATATGCATCTGCTGTCTAACTTCATCAATAGATGGCTGAGAACTTAAAGTTGATGTCTCTGAATGGCCTTTAGCCTGGCGAGATCTAGTATAATTTCGAGGCTCATTGACTCGGTCAACATTTGTTTCTTCTATAATTTCAGGTTCAGTCTATTGGAGAAAAGCATATTACATACAATTATCTGTGGTGTTACAGATGCAACTTTTCTCCAACACATGTACCCAAAACTTCTTCTGCACATATACAAGGTAATGGTTTATTATAATATAAAAATCAAGGACATTTTCCTCTATCAATCTTTAAAAATGACTTTTAAGACTGCACTAGTCTAAAATACTACCTAAGACTAAAGCCTTAGCTTATTTTGGATGAACTTACAAGGAATAGCATACATATACATTTACCTAATGGTACTGATAGTAAAGACCACGGGCAGGCAAGTACTTGGGCCTGAAGGCCACACAGTCAGTTCTGAGGAAGTGTAATGGGCCGATCAGCACCCACACCCCCTCACCCCCACAACAGCCCAGAGACCACGCACCCTATGGCTCCTCCACACCAGAGCCCAGCAGCAGCTAAGCACATAGTCCTGGCCCCAGCCTTGGCCCACACTGCACCTGCTCCAGACTTGCCCTGGCCAGAGCAAATAAGCTCTGCACCAGCCGGGACCTGTGCGCACAGCCCCAACCCTGGCCAGCCCCAACCCAACTCACTCCGGACTGCCCACCCACACTGAGCAGTTGCAGCCGGGCAGAAGCTGCTGCTAGGCATGGGGGGAAAGTGGCCACCTCTCCCTCGCTGCTGCTGGGCCCTTTTTGCTGCAGCCACCCAGAGCCTATGCCCAGGCTGCCCTGCGTTTCCTCCCCACTGCCACTGCTGCCCTACTGGGAGGCCCAGAGGTGGCAGTGATGGCAGAAGAGAGGAGCCACAGGGCAGCCTGGGCGTGCGCTCTAGGTGGCTGCAGCAAGAAGGCCCTGGAAGTGGTAAGGAGGAAGTGGCTGCTTTTCCCCTGTGCCCAACAGTAGCTTCTGGCCAGCTGCCACTGGAGCTGCTGCTGTTCAGTGTAGGCAAGTAGTTCAAAGCAGGCCCAGGACAGGCTGGGGCTGGGGCTGTGTGCGTAAGTTCTGGCTGGTCCAAAGCTGGTCTGCTCCATTCAGGGTGGGTCTGGAGTGGATGTAGGGTGAAGTGGGCCCGGCCTGAGCCAGGGCTGTACATGTGGGTCCCTGCCACTACCATGGACCTGGGGGAAGCATCTGCAGTTGGTGTGTGCTCTTTTTGAAGAGCTCTTCTTGAAGAGCTCACACCAACTGCAGATGCTTCCTCAGCCTGACAAAGGGTATTTATACCTGCAAGCTTGCTAAGAAGAATTTTTCCAACTATTTGAGTTGGTCTAATAAAACATATCAGATTTACCCAAAGAACCTTGTCGTCATAATTATGGTATTTACCCAAATCCAATAAAACTTTGAATTTAAGACAATCCCCTGATAATTAGATTCCATACATAGAAAATTATAACAAATCTATAATTTGTCATGTATAGAATCTAATTATTAGGAGGTCATCTTAAATTTGTCCCCCTCGCTGCTGTAGTAGGGAAGGCAGCAGCAGGGGGGCAAGAGACCAGACCTTATCCCTTGCCCCCAGTGCCTGTGCCTGCCCCCTCTGCTGCCTGTTCCCTCTGTCACTTGACCTCCCCCAGTACCTGCCCACCTCCCCTTGACCCCCTCCCCTATACCTGTGCCTGCCCCATTGCCACTTGCCACTTCTGGGGCCTGTTCCTCCTGCCTTTTGCCCTCCACGCCCCTGCCCCCATCCCCTCTACCGCTTGTCCCCCCTGCCTTTGCCCATGCTCCTGTTGCCTGTCCCTGGTGCCTGCCTCCCTACCACCTGTACCCTCCCCACCCCTTGTCCATGCCTGCCCCCTTCTGCCTGTCCTTCCATCCCTGCTCCTCCTACCACCTGCACCCTCCCACCGTTTACCTTCTGGGTAGCTCTGCTCTGGCTTTGGGGCTGTCAGTGGTAGCAGCCCAGCCCCAGCCCCAACCAATCTGGACAGGAAGAAGAAGCGACAGCAGCTCTGAGCCCAGTTGGGTCAGGGCTGGAGGAGCCAGAACCAGAGTCAGAACAAAACCAGGGCTGGGGGTGAAGGGGTGAAGAAACAGGAGGCAGGGGGACAAATGGCATGGTCTCCCCCATGCTCCCCCTGATGCGTACACCCTCCCCCATTGAACAAAACATTACAGCCCCCAGGCCTGTACTCAAATATAAAACAAGGGGTTCCCCCCCTCCCCCCCAGACACTGATTGCAGGGTCAGGGGGTTGTCTTGGAGCTGAGTAAATACAGTATATATTTTTGTTTTGGTCATTCATGAAAGCCTCAGTGAGAACATGGTCCCATTGTGATAGATCATGACAGACACTCTACCAACACAAACACCTCAGAGCCCAAGAGACCTTACAGCCTAAACCCTCTCTTCTCTGAAGAAGAGAAGACAGAGGGGGATTTAATAGCACCCTTCAGCTACCTGAAGGGGGGGTCCAAAGAGGATGGAGCTAGACTGTCCTCAGTGGTGGCAGATGACAGAACAAGGATCAATGGTCTCAAGTTGCAGCAAGGGAAGTTTAGGTTAGATATTAGGAAAAATTTTATAACTAGAAGAGTTGTAAAGCACTGGAACAGGTTAGCAAGAGAGGTTGTGGAATCTCCATCCTTGGAGTTTTTTAAGACCCAGCTAGACAAAGCCTTCACTGGGATAATCAAGTTGGGGCTGGTCCTGCTTTGAGCAGGGGGTTGGACTAGATGACCTCCTGAGGTCCCTTACATCCCTCATTTTCTATGATTTTATATAAGATAAAAAATTAAGGAAAAAAATTAAGGAAAAATTAAGTACTATTTTCTCTCTCTATTATATGTTTATGAGGGAATAGAGGCATAGAGAAATGAAGTGATTGTCCACAGTCACACAAGGTATCTCTGCACAAGTAGAATTGGAAGACAGTTTTCTTGAGCTCCTGACCATGCCTTCAATGCAAGACAACCAAATGCAGAAGTGACCAGCAAGCTTTTAAGCACGGATATTAAGTGATTTTGAATACACAATCTCTATAAATGTTTCAGATACACTGGGACAGAATGTGTGAGATACTACCCTGTTTTTATTCTTCTCAGGAGTAAAGAAATCTATATTATTCACAGCTGTTCTCATTGTTTTTCTTTCAATTAGCCAATTTTCATGAAATCCATTCATGCAGAAAATTGTAAATGTTATATTCCTATTGCTGCTTAGACACAGATTTTAAAATGAGATAAACTTCAGTGACAACATCTTAATGACTAATATTAGTTTCACAGCACTTAAACTCTGTAATCCAAGGCCACAATATCAATGAAATATTCTCATTACCTTCAACAGGTTTCTGGCCAGGCTTGGTGTTCCACAATTCTACGCTACATTACAAAAAACAACTTCATTCATCGCTGAGTAAACTTAGCAACTTGAGCTGACAAAATGTACTCTTCTGTACAAGAGCTCCTTCCTTGTGGAAAATATCCGGCCATGACTTGGTTATATTGCCTAATTAAGTGTTCACATGACAAGTATTTCAGACCTAACTTTTTGACAGTGAATGTAGAACATACCTATAAAATCCAGAGTGTGGAGTTTATGGCAGAGGTGTAGAAGGACAGCTCTGTGTTGAGGGCAGCTGCAACATGCCATGCCAGCTGCAGTGGCAGTTACCACTGCCTCAGAGGCAGCTATTTTTGTGCCTTCTCCTTTCCACCCCAAAAGAGCAGTGGTGTAACTAGGGTGGGAGAACCAGGGTGGCCACGCCAGGCACTGATTTGAGGGATGGTGGTTGAAAAACAGCTGCTTTCACAACTGCACCAGTGATGGCGGGAACCAGAAATCACTGCTGCACCAGTATGTGACAGCTGCCCTAGGCGCCCTTCTGCATTGCTATGCCTCTGCATGAGGGTGGCACCCAGAGCTGCTCTATCTGGCCTCTATCAGCTATGCTACTCAATCATGGTAGGGGTGCCAAACTCACTTCATGCCCTGGGCCAGATATGGACTGTGGGGTGCTTGTGGGGCCTGGGGCACACGGTGATGGCACCTCCAGCATGGGGTGGTGGCAGGGTTGGCAGCTGAGGATGTAGTGCCATGGAGGTGATGACAGGAAAAGAAGCTGGAGGGTAACCATGGCTGTATAAACCCTTGCACACCCTCTTAATGCCAAGGGCCGATTCTGTGGCAGGCTGCTCCCCACAGCCATACCCCTCTCTCCTCCGCCCCCCCCCTCCCCCCTGGCCTTCCAGTTGCTTGTCAGTTTGCCGGGAAGGCCAGACAGAGCAGTCCTGCAGGCCAGATCCAGCCCACAGGACATGTCTGACACTCATGATTTATGGCTTATCTTAATTTGAGAAAGTGAAGTTATTTTAGTCCTCTGTGAAATATGAACCACCAAAACCAGAAGGAAATCAGAATACATCCTGCCTACCACCAAAAAACTCTGAGGTAAACAGACTATTCCAACTTTTCTCTGAGCCTAATCTGCATATAAAATTAACTTTTCCAAACAGGAGATTTTACCACACCTTCAACTCTCCTATGAAATATGAAATTTCATTTCTATCTAGGAGAACTTTTACAATCTTTTCTCTGATGCCTGATGAAGGGTGTTTGTGCCCAAAAGCTTGCAATTAAGGATTTTTTTTGCAAAAATCTAGTTGGTCTAATAAAAGATACCACCTCTACCACGAGTCCTGAGTGCTTTTTCCTCTAGACCAATACAGCTACAACCTGGATACCTGACACAAGTTCTCTTAGTGGTTTTTAAACTCTAGTCTTTAGATTTGAAGTTCATCAGAGCAGAGGTTTCTTCCCCTGTATTTGTTCAGTGTACAATAAAATCTGGGTCGGGCCTTTTAGGGCTGCCATAATATAACAGGAATAATTAATGTTAGTGTTAGCTGAATTTAGTTTTAAGTATATCTTAATGATCTCTGAATGATTTAAGTGTGGTTTGGAAAAATTAATTAATATAGTGAATTAAAAATGTATGTACTCAGGCACAAACATGTAACTGTATGAATAAAATATAGCTATGAACATAAAACATAACAGTCTTTTTTGGATTGCTCCCT